AAAACATGAGAAGAAGGGAAAAAAAAATGAAGACACAAGTCTTTAGTCTAAAATGGGAATTTGATTTTACTATAATTATTTTATTAGGGAAGTGCACAGGCAGAGACATAAGCATCACACAAGGAAAAGGTTCAAATACGGGGATACCAGAGTACATAGTTGAGATTATCAACACCTGTCTTTCCAATAATTGTCCTCCTTCCAATATTCATCTCCACTGTGGATTGTTTGCCTCTGCAAGACTAGTGGCTCCACAACTCTTCAAGAGGCTCTCTAATGATGATTGTTTGGTCAATGGTGGAAAACCCTTGAAGGCTGGTCAAGTCATTAGATTCTCTTATTCTAACACTTTCAAGTACCCAATTTCATTCAAGTCTGCCACGTTTTGCTGACCTAACCCAAATTTAACTCGAGGGATGTAAATCTTGATTTGGGTGTCAAAATAAAATCTATATTTATATATCTATTCTATACTATAAATAATTGCAAATGCTTATCTTTGGTTCAAGGGTTGGCTCGCATGGCCACCACTTGCCATTTCTCACTATTTTTTATATTTTTAAATTTTTTTTAAACATTTTGTCAATTACCAAACGCGTTTGTAGTTTTTGTTTTTCTAAAAATAAACAAAAACCAGTTTATTAAATTTTTGTAAATATAAATTGAAAACGTAAACGTTACCAAACAGACCCAATATATTTTTTTCAAAACACCAAAAAGTTATTTTCATATAAAAATGAAAACTGTATGAAAATGAGGAAACAAGCGGTGCTATTTTCCTCGATGGAGCCCATCCTAGAGTCATTGTGATTATTCGAGCCGTTCGTTTTGTAATGTCTGTTGAATAGATTATTCATGCAAAATATAAGATTGATCAAATATTGATAGTCATATAATTAAATCATATTTTTCTTAAAAAAATAGACAGCAAATACGATTTTAAAAATATAACTTTTTTCAAGAATTTATTCAGCATACCATACAAAACCAATGCCTCACAACACCTTAGTGGGGACAGCATCCCATGCTTGTGAAAAATGATGGATGTTTTCACCCTTGTCGTTGCTTTTATTTCCAAAAACATGAGAAGAAGGGGAAAAAAATGAAGACACAAGTCTTTAGTCTAAAATGGGAATTTGATTTTACTATAATTATTTTATTAGGGAAGTGCACAGGCAGAGACATAAGCATCACACAAGGAAAAGGTTCAAACACGGGGATACCAGAGTACATAGTTGAGATTATCAACACCTGTCTTTCCAATAATTGTCCTCCTTCCAATATTCATCTCCACTGTGGATTGTTTGCCTCTGCAAGACTAGTGGCTCCACAACTCTTCAAGAGGCTCTCTAATGATGATTGTTTGGTCAATGGTGGAAAACCCTTGAAGGCTGGTCAAGTCATTAGATTCTCTTATTCTAACACTTTCAAGTACCCAATTTCATTCAAGTCTGCCACGTTTTGCTGACCTAACCCAAATTTAACTCGAGGGATGTAAATCTTGATTTGGGTGTCAAAATAAAATCTATATTTATATATCTATTCTATACTATAAATAATTGCAAATGCTTATCTTTGGTTCAAGGGTTGGCTCGCATGGCATGTCGCCTAGAGGGATTATCTGTATGGATGGAGGAAGTTCCCCATCCATTTTTTATTTAGCTTTGGATGAAACTTTGTGATCTGCCTTTTTGGTTTCCAATCTACAAAAAAAAAAATAATAATAATAAAAAAGGTCTTGATTCTTTTTTCTCAATTTTTTGAATTATTAAATATTAAATATTTTTATCAATTAAGTCATTGTTTAATGTTTTTCATATTCTCTTCATATCAATATGGAAAATTTTAAAGTCATTAAATTAAGTACTTATATTTAAAATTTAAATAAAAACATTTTAGTATTTATTCTAAGAAATAAATATGAAGATGTTTTTCAAAAATATCAAATGAATTTTTCAGAAACATCTTACCATTTTTTAATAATGCATCTGTGATAGAATAGTTTTATCACAAAAAAAAAATATATATATATATATATATCACTATCGGCGTTACGAAATATATATGAAAATGTTTTTCAAAATTGTCAAATTGGTCATTCTTTAAAAAATATAATATTATTTAGCATATGAATGATGTATTTGTTGTTTGGAAGGGTTTTGGAATTGTAATTCCACTTCTGGGTTTGCACGTGGTGTTTGGTTGTAATTTTTAAAAATTAATTCCACACCCACTTTTAAAAACTCCTTTTCAAACAGAAAAATTTGGCTAATAAGGGTTGGCTCGCATGGCATGTCGCCTAGAGGGATTATCTGTATGGATGGAGGAAGTTCCCCATCCATTTTTTATTTAGCTTTGGATGAAACTTTGTGATCTGACTTTTTGGTATCCAATCTACAAAAAAAAATAATAATAATAAAATAAAAAAGGTCTTGATTCTTTTTTCTCAATTTTTTGAATTATTAAATATTAAATATTTTATCAATTAAGTCATTGTTTAATGTTTTTCATATTCTCTTCATATCAATATGGAAAATTTTAAAGTCATTAAATTAAGTACTTATATTTAAAATTTAAATAAAAACATTTTAGTATTTATTCTAAGAAATAAATATGAAGATGTTTTTCAAAAATATCAAATGAATTTTTCAGAAACATCTTACCATTTTTTAATAATGCATCTGTGATAGAATAGTTTTATCACAAATATATATATATATATATATATCACTATCGGCGTTACGAAATATATATGAAAATATTTTTCAAAATTGTCGAATTGGTCATTCTTTAAAAAATATAATATTATTTAGCACATGAATGCTGTATTTGTTGTTTGGAAGAGTTTTGGAATTGTAATTCCACTTTTGAGTTTGCACGTGATATTTGGTTGTAATTTTCAAAAATTAATTCCACACCCACTTTTGAAAACTCCTTTTTAGACAAAAAAATTTGGCTAACCCAATTGTCCCCCGGACGTCCGGCAGATTGACCGAAACAGTGTACTTTTTTTTTTGCACCTGTTATTTTTATATTTTAAATAAAAAATATTTTCAAAATTTTTTTTTAATTTTTTATGAGCTTTGAATAAGATTTTGGATTGTGTGTTTGGTTATGAATTGTAAGTTTTTGAATTAAATATCATATGTCACATCATTCATTTCAAACTCAATTCAAAACTCTTTCCAAAACTCTTTTCAAAACTCATAACCAAATAAATTTTCTACACTCAAATCATAATTCTAAAACTTACAAACTCAAAATACAATTTCTATTCTCAAATTATATTTAAAAAATTCTACCAAACGTTATCTCATATATCATCTTGGTTTATACCATGAGTGACTGCCGCAATTTGAAACAAATGAGAACCATTTTAAAATATTGTTCATCCATTTTAAAATCTGATTATATTTGTATTAACGGTAAGTATGATTTTTAAAATAAATTATTTATACAAATGTGATATAACTAAATGAGTATCGATATTCGATCAATGTGATTTTTTACATGAATGAATTACTTATACATATTGAATAGCTCAAATTATCAAATATAGTTTCTGTGGTAGGCCTACGGGGCCCTTTGGCAACTGGAGATAAACCTCTTCCTTTTTTTCAAATGGATAATAGTATACTTTTTCCATGAAAATGATAGATGTTTTCAACTTTTTCATTGCTTTCCTTTCCAAAACATGGAAACAAAAATAAAATAAAATGATCTCCGGGATCACCCCCGATCATAATTTTACACACACAAAAAACAAAAAAAAAAAAAAAAAAAAAAAAAAAAAAAAAAAAAAAAAAAAAAAACACCCCTTTTTTATCAAATGGGGGTTTTTTTTTTTTTTTTTTTTGTTGCTATAATTATTTTAGGATAAATTGCAAATACACCCTTTAAAGTTTATTTAAAATACAAATCGTTCCCTGTAATGTTAAAAATTATAAATACTTTTTTGTCAAATTTTTTTATTTTAACAGTAGAAAAAATGAAATTTTTAACTGTTATCCTACACAACAATAAAATTACTTGAATTGTTAATTGAAATATATTTATGACATCATTAAAAATTATTAATTAACTTGCTAATTTATCAATAAAAATGGTCATCTGTTATGTGAGTAGAAACTAGAAGGGCTGTGAGGTAATTTTTATAACCATATGAAATAATTTGTATTTTAAACAAATTTTGGTTATTGTATTTGTATTTTTTTTTATTAGGGAATTGCACAAAGAGAGACATAAGCATCATACAATGCAAAGGTTCAAAAACAGGAACACCAGAGTACATAGTTGAGATTGTCAACACCTGTCTTTCTGATGATTTTCTTCCTTCTAGTATTCATCTCCACTATGGCCAGTTTGTCTCTGCAAATTTAGTGAACCCACAACATTTCAAGAGGCCCTCCATTGATGATTGCTTGATGAATGGTGGAAAACCTTTGAAGGCTAGTCAAGTCATTAGATTCTCTTATTCTAACAGGTTCATGTATCCAATTTCATTCAAGTCTGCCAAGTTTTGCTGCCTCAAACCAATGGATGTAAATCTTGATTTGGGTGTCAATAAAAAGAAGGGAAAAAAAACAGAAAAATTACCCAAATTGCAAAACCAAACATCTATGAATGTGAATTGTTTTTTTCAGGGTTGTTGGTTCTGTTTTGGTATAAGCTATTGTATTGATTGGGAATGAGTAAGATGACTATAAATGATGTTGTATTGAATTTCTCTCTTTTCGTATTCAATTTTGAGAGTTACACCCTGTATCTTTTTGTGTGATGCTTTTGAGACCTTAAGCTAAAAAATATAACACTATCTTATTGTGCATTTAAAAAAAATGGGACATTTGACAATACCAATTTTTTCAAATTATTTTTATAGAACTCAAGCGATGACTAAGTGACCTAATAGTTACATAAGCCGATTTAGAGCTTCATTAACTCGGGCTTGCAAGGATATTATCCTATGGCATTAATCTTAACAAATGCATCCAACAATCGGTTCAAGCTTCTTCAACTATTTTTTTATGTACATTCGAATAAACAACAATGTTACATCTCATCTTCCCTGTGGATTCACTATCTGTGAGAAGATTACATTGCTACTATCATCAGTCTCCTCGGCCTCTTCTTCGATGTTAAACAATGTCGTATGCACAACAAAAGCATCATTGGCCTTTTGTTCTGCCATTACATTTGGTCCATCAGGATTGTCCTGCAACTGGAGCGCAAACTCAAGGTTCCACAAAACAGCACCCATCGATGGGCGATCAATCCCTTGATCCGACAAACACTTCATAGCTGTCTCCGAGAACTTTTTAGAGCACTCGAGGCTAATCTCTCCCTTAATATGCTGGTCAATGATGCTATCCATAGTTCCTTTTCTAAAGTTGTTCCGTGCCCAATCTGCAAGGCTAACTTGTTCCTTAGAAAGGCTAGGGTTAAGAGCCGCCCTCCCACACAATACTTCGAAAAGGACTACCCCAAATGAGTACACATCGGACTTGTCTGTCAACTGTTGCCTTCGGAAGTACTCTGGATCTAAGTACCCGAAACTACCCTTTACCACGGTACTAACATGGGTTTGGTTGAGAGTAGGCCCGGTTTTTGAGAGCCCAAAGTCTGAGACTTTTGCAACCCACTTCTCGTCCAAAAGAATGTTTGTGGTTTTCACATCCCGGTGAATGATGGTGTACTTAGCTCCGGTGTGGAGATAGTGAATTCCCCTTGCAGCGCCAATGCAGATCTCTAACCTTTGCTTCCATGACAAAGGAGGTTTGTTGGTCTTATAGAGATGCTCTCTTAGGGTTCCATTAGCCATGTAGTCATAGACCAAGATCATCTCATCATTTTCTTTGCAAGCCCCAATTAGAGAGACTAAATGCCGGTGTCTAAGCTTTGAAAGCAAATCGATTTCAGTTTGGAACTCATGAACTCCTTGTTCCGAAGATGGGTTAGACCTCTTAATTGCAACTTTAGTCCCTCCATCAACAACCCCTTCGTACACCTTTCCAAACCCTCCAACTCCGATAACTTGAGACTCATCAAAGTTTTTTGTGGCGGATTTTATCTCTCCTAAGGAGAAATGTCGACAAAAGCCTCCATCAAGTGTTGAAAAGCGACTACTACCACTACTTTTGGTGGTTCCTGATGACCGCGAGCTACCATAAAGTGGCAACCAACTGGCTGTGTTAGTATTTCTTGTACCGGTTTTACACTTCCTACGATTGAGAAAAACCAACACTCCAACTATCAAAACAAAACTACCCAACCCTCCAACCACCCCACCAATTACCCTGGCACGTTTATTAGATTGTGATGGTCCAAAACTCCGCGATTGTTGATCAGAGATGGCCTTTTGTTGAAGCCATGATGGCTTGGGATTTGGGCCCGCCAAGTTCCCCCTTGTGTCATTAACCTTAAAAACCTCCAATCCATTGAGAATCGCATCGTAGTATTCGGGCTTCATAGATACAGAAGGGTGCAATGCCACCCACAATTCGCCATCACCATTCCCATCATCCTTAACGTACATCACGAAATCTTTGTAGACCGGCACTCCTTTCTTTGAATCCGCCCATGCCATCACATCCGCGGATTGTTGGGCTGTTTGGTTGTTGATGAAAATATCAAACACCCTCTGATTCGCCTTCGAAAGCTGATATTCACAAAAATGGAGCCTCACTAGGTATGTGAAATTTGCATCAATTTGGAATACCCATGTGAGATTGAAATTCACATTAATTTTTGGATTTGGACCCATTGTTCTTGCTGTTTTATACACATCAACAGGGGCAATATACTCTGCTTCCCTAGAAGGGTATTTGATTGAGACATTTTTATCTGCTTCAGAAGAGACACCGAAGGCTGCACCGAACAAGTATGGCGAATCATCGTACCATGTTCGTGTAAGCCCCGAGTCATTGGCTTCTGGTATGAACTGTCCTCCAACATTTAACCTAAACATTGTCTGAAAAACAGAGTACTCTGTTTCTAAAGACTGGTCTGAAAACCCAACCATAGTTGCTTGTTGAAAAATTTCTGGCATTGAAATGACCTCAATTCCATTAACAAAGGCTAATGAACCTTTGTGAGTAGAAGAAGGTGTGAAAGTGAGATTGAGAGAGCCTGATTGGATCGGTGTGAGAGAGAATTCCTTGATTATATAAGCTTGTGTGAGGGCTTGGGCTGTGATTAAGGCACTGAAATTTCTCAGAAGAATGAACTCGTTGGCAGTTAAAGAGAAATAGGATTCGGCAGCACTGAAATCGGTGTAAGAAGATGGGTAGAAATGGAGTCGAACCCAATGTCGATTTTTGGAAGAAAGTGAGAATTTGTATGTAGCTGAAGATGTGAAAATTCTAGCAGTCATGTATGGAATTGAGGAAGGTAGTGAAGGGTCTTGGGATTGAGCTGAGGCAGTCATTGAATTCGACGGAGAGGCGAGGAATTTGGAATCTGGAGCCCAATTCCGGCCATTGGCATCGGTGGCGTCGCTAGAACCACCGCAAGCCAGCACAAAGGAATCGGAATTTGATTTTGAGGTTTTGCTGGATGAGTGGAGGATATTAGAGACGAATGAAAAGGAAAAGAGAAAAAATAAGATATGGGTATTGAAGATCATAGCTATTTGGGAATATCCTTTTGAGGGAATTGAGAAAGAGGGTGAGAAAGTTTGAGAGAAAATGAAAGAAAATGTGGCATACAGAAAAACAGGGGATGGTAAAATAAAACAGAGGAAGAGATAATGACAGAAAATAGTTTCCTGTATGCCTATGAAAAAGAAAAAATTCTAAATTGATTAATGATCTAATCTACTCCAACTTTCATTATTCATGAACATGTACATAGAATAATGGATTCACGAACTCACCTTAGTTCTTTCATTGATTGTAACAGAGCAAAGCACATACCCAAGAAGACAATTTTGTCTCCTCATTTGATTTAGTAGCTTTTGTGTTCTTTGTTTTTTAGGGGTTTTTTTTTTTTTTTTTTGAATGGGATTGAGAAGGATCAGTTTCAGATTTCAGACGTTAGGGTAAGAGGAGTTAGTTAGGGAGGAATGTGAGGACAGTAACATCAAAATGGGTTAATTTTTTTGAAGACGGTGACAAAACTGACTATGAATGCCCTTAATGGCTAGTAACAACCAAAATAATAAAAACTGAAAATTGCAAATAAGAAGATAGTTTTAAAATAATTCTACTGTACTTGGGATTTTTTTTGTGCAAGCCTAATTAACAAAAAAAATTGCACTAAACACATAAAAGAGTTGCATCTTATACACGAGATTTATACCATTATAAAAATATGATTATTTCTTTATTATTCGACTGAAATACAATTTTTCCTAACAAAAATATAATTTTATCACCAGGCAATATTATGGTGAAAAAAATTATTCTATAGTAATAAATTTGTTATTATTTCCAAATGATCATTCTATATAATAATAACAATAATAAACCAAGAAAACAGTCAAAAACAATATGTATTGCAAGTTTTTTTTTTTTTTTTTTTTTTGAACGCTATGACAAGTTCATACATAAGAACAAATAATAATTATTCTAAAACATATTACAATTGCGCCGCCAATTTACTGGGATGCCAGTTGTAGCCCTAGACTTTAGGCCATGAGACTAAACAAATTTTAAACTAGATTTGTGTGTGGTGCGCAGGCCCAGGCAGAGTACTGCAAAGCCCCGGGTGACGCTCAAGGACCGAAGCAGCAAGCTACTGAGATGGGCCTCTCCCCTGAAACAAATAAATTTAATATTATTATGGGCCAATGGCCCATATATCAGATATTAAACTGATAAAAACAGATAGTACAATTGATCTTAGCCGAAAGGCCGAGAAAGGTATGATTTTTAATCTCCTTGGGCTTCCTCTTTTATTACCATCTTCGAGTCCATGTGGGAAATATTACATAAAAGTCTACTTGCAGCTTTACAACAAAGTCAAAACACTTCCTACTTTGGAAATTATTTTTCACCTGTCAAAAGTGAAATATTTTTTTGACTTTCAAGTTATACCAACTGCCAAAAATATTTTACAAAATATGTATTTAAAAAAAAACATTTTCTGAAAAATTTTGGGTGATAGTGAGATTATGGCCCCTACTCCTATTTGATGGATAGAAAATTATGAATTTTGAGTGCCACTGATGATCATGGGGCATGAGACTCGTGCTGTTTAATTTTGAGTTATTAGCTCTTTTTGTTACTATATTATTGGTGAAATTATAGTGTCAAGTTATTGCACATTTATGTGCTCGTCTAGACCCGTCTAAGAATGCTTTTAGTTTTTTTATATGAACTTAAAATTGTGTCCTTTAGGTATGTCACCTATGTTTCATTAGATTATAAAACAAATGTTACAATCCAATATTGTGGTTTGATAGTTGGGACTTATTCCCATATGGTTAAGTGGATAGAAATTGTGAATTTGAGTCCCATCGGCAATAGTTGAGCGTACAAAACTAATTATCTTAATTATGAGTTATTATCTCTTTGTCACTGTGTTATTGATGAGATTCGTGATATGTCATGACCTAATCTATTTTAAAAGAGCAACTATTGAGCCTCCGTTTGGGAAGTGGGTTGGCTTTTTGGCTTTTTGACTTTTTTGGCTATTTTAGCCTGGGCTAAAAAACTTGGTTTGGGAAGGGCTTTTTGGCTTTTTGGCTTTTTTGACTTTTTTTGTGAGAGAAGAATGTAATGATTATAGGTTGGATGTGATGTTTTGTTTGTTATGGCTAAAATAGCTTATTTTGTTTTTTGTGGCTAAAATAGCCAAAAAAGCCTGAAAAAGCCCTTGCCAAACGGAGGCTGATTTCTGTAAATTCTTTAACTATGTGGACTCATTTAAATCCTGATTGTCTGACTTTTGAAGAATATGATCATACGCATTGAAAATTGTTATTTAGGAAAATATTTGTAACCCTCCAATATTGTGGTTTGATAGTTGGGACTTATTCCCATATGGTTAAGTGGATAGAAATTGTGAATTTGAGTCCCATCGGCAATAGTTGAGCGTACAAAACTAATTATCTTAATTATGAGTTATTATCTCTTTGTCACTGTGTTATTGATGAGATTCGTGATATGTCATGACCTAATCTATTTTAAAAGAGCAACTATTGATTTATGTAAATTCTTTAACTATGTGGATTCATTTAAATTCTGATTGTCTGACTTTTGAAGAATACGATCATACGCATTGAAAATTGTTATTTAGGAAAATATTTGTAACCCCTAAAATACTCTCCAAATTTGATCCTACAATATATCATTTTTCTTATATAAAAACTTGACAACAACACACAAACAGCTATTTTTGTGTGTGATTTTGGAATTTGAATTTTTGGAGTTGGATCGGATATCATCCAAACCCTTAATTTGGAAAGTGGCTAGTGCTGAGAAAGAGCTATTGTTTAAGCCTTACTTCATTAGCTAACAGCTCATTTTGGACCAACCATCACCCATATCCATATGCTCGCATAAGTTTCCAAAGGATACATAAATACATATCTGTTAAAAATTGGACACCCATGTGACATAACCCTTTAAACTTTTTAAACCTGAACCTTTTGAACCTTATCCATGTAAGTTTGAATTTTAATTCAAAACTTAATTGGATAATCATTTAGGATATCTATATCTATCATATCAATAGATATTGATAGATAGATAGATAGATAGATATTAGTGGTTATATATATGATTATATATTTTAGATAATATATTGATATATCAAATACGTATATCAGATACGTTTTGTGATTTTTACCCATAACCTTTTTTCACAGACTCTCTCTCTGACTCTCTCCCATTAAACAACTATCAAGCCATTTTGCATTGTGACTGTGTGGGTGATACTCATTTTGCAGTATCACTCCACCGCTGGGTTCGTTGTTCGAAATCTGGAAGCACGTGATTTACCCACGAGATTCTATCACCTGAAGGTATGATCTCAATGTTTTTCCCGCTGCGTTATAATACTTTATGATTTACATTGGTATCAGAGCCAATATAGGTATTTTCGTGCTTATTTTTATGCATTAAAATATGTGTATATTTTTATATAAGTATATATACATGATATATGCATGAATATTAATAAAGGAGAAAGATGTCCACTCTCATTAGATTGAGAGTGTAAAACACCTTATTTTTATGGTCATTAAACGTTATTTTTGAGACCATAAATGTTTTTATTGTGAAAAATGTAGTTCGGGAGTATCAAAATCAAACCAGAAAACACCCTGGAAGGCGGCGCGTGAGCAACACGTGCCTGGTGACGCCGTCAGCGGCGGACACGCGCGCCCCGGGCGCTGTGCCATGCGCTGAGCCGCTTGTTGCGCCGTGCGCTGAGCCGCTCACCGAGCCGAGCCGCGCCGCGCCGTTTTCCGCGCCGACTTTGCTGGTTTGGCGGCTGGGGTTAAGGGTCTGTTTGTTTTTTTTTAAATTCAGAATCGCATTAAAAGGTCATAATTAATTCGTTATAACTTTTTTTTCAGCGTGATTGGGACCGTTAGACTCAAAATTAAATTTTTTATCTTCTGTAAATTTTTCAAAATTTTATGAAAATAAAAAATATTTTTCCTGAAATAATAATTCATTATTTATGTTTTAAAGTGCATCTGGTGTTGCATGATTAAGTTTCTGGGGCTGAATTGTTTATTGTAGACTACTGTTATGGTTTACTATTTACTGGCATGGTTGCTTCATTTTCCAGATCCTGGAATATTTATTTCTAATTTTATGTATGTTTATTAGTTATTTAAAATTCCAGAAAATTTCAAAAAAATTCCAAAAAATTTTATAATGATGTACATTCTATTATGGCATAATTTGAATATTAAATACAGCATATTATTTTTTTTAAAAATTTGTAATATGTTGTGATTAGAATAGCATGATTAATTGTTTTTTATTTTAATTCCGTTATTAAATGTAACATAGCATGTATTGATTGTGAATCTACATCATCATGCTATTGTATGGAATTAGAATATTTTATCATATTTTTTAGACATGCCATAATCAGTGGGAGGTTGTTCAGTTGATAGAAATCTTTGTAGATTTACTCCCGAAAACTAATGTTTTGCATATGAATTAAATTAAATTTTGGATAATTGTCATCTGTGGCGCAAGAGATGATTACGAGCATAGCATAGCATGATTAATTGTTATTTGTTTAAATTCCATTATTAATTGTGACATAGCATGAGTTGGCTGTGAATCTACATTATGATGCTATTGTATGGAATTAGAAATTTTTGTCATGTTTTTTAGACATGCCATAATCAGTGGGAGGTTGTTCGGTTGATAGAAATCTTTGTAGATTTACTCCTGAAAACTAATGTTTTGCATATGAATTAAATTAAATTTTGGATAATTGTCATCTGTGGCGCAAGAGATGATTACGAGCATAGCGGATTTTCGATCTTGTGACTTGTGTAATATTGTCACTATTTAATTTAGATTTTTGTGGCAAAATTATATTATGCTAATCAAATTAATCCCAATGCGAATTTCTCTCTAAATTGATTTAGCTTATGGAAGTTAATTTGGTTGACCTAGACTTAGTAGAGATGTTCAAATGTGAACAAACTAATCCCATTCTTTAGATGAGCAAAAGTCTTGGAGACTTTAGGTCAAACCTTAATTGAGCCAAAGTAAGGAAACATGACTCAAAGTCGCCGTGGTTTTGTTGCCTTGTTTGGCATAATAAAAACTAATGTGTGCGCTATGATTAGCGGCACGCTACGTAGTTTTGGTTGGCGAGTTTTGGAGTTATGAAATTAGTAAGCCCTTGATAGATCTGTATATGATCCTGACTATTGAGTTACGTAGATTGACTTTGTAATTTGACTTGTAAATAATATTACATCATTGGATGAAGTAACATTTAAGAGTCACGTCATCCAAGAAATGTGAGCTTAAATAAATTAGTCATTAAGTGTAAGACAAGTAGCCAGTATGAGCAGTGTTTTGCTCTCTACCCAATTATTGGGAATGAATGGAGCAAAATTTCACGCACTAAAATAGTGTGCATTAAAGTATCACTTGAAGATTAAAAGATTAGCGCTTAGTAGCAGCAAAATCTATTAACACTAAGTGAAAAGATTAGCGCCAAGTGACTGCAAAATCTATTAGCATTGCCAACTTGTCTAAGTCTGGACACTTACTATTTCCACACTTGAGTGTGAGACATGAGAAGGTGTTTCTTTGTATGGTTCCTTAGCTAGGCTAACGTTTTTGAATAACGTTTACCACTAAGCGCAAACGTTGCACCATAGTAATGAAAAGGTCAAGGTCGACAAGGTTGTTATAACTCTAAGAATTCGATACATGGCTCGTGAGAGCATTGTGTTGAATTAGACTCTTTAGCCTAATTTGCGCATAAGTTACTTCGGGAGTTGTCATAGATTGATAGCTTATTCTCTCCTTCTTGTGGATAGTAGAATTAATTACAAGTAACTATGAAGCGAGAAATAGAGATGGCAAGAGGAGTAGATGCAGTAAAGTGTATGAAGAATAAAATTGACTTGAAGGAGCAGGGGATTAGCATTTACTAGTTAAATTTGCGACTTAAGCGCGCTTGATATCTCCATGACATCCTTTTATGATCTAGTGAATATGAATTAGTCGTGAGTCATTACCTAGTTGGGGCTAAACCTTTAAAACTTGTCTTCGAGAACTCACACATTAAGATGATTGGAATTAGTTTATGACATTGGTCATGAACCGGTGGCTTATTATACTTAATCACATTAATGAGATGATGACAAGATGGTTTGAGTAGGCCCTCTCGGGCCCACTCGCTTGTGACATCATGCTCTCATGTAAATGTGTAAC